AAGCTAATATCAGTGATGTAAAAATCAAGTTAACACTCGTTTATTATTATCTTGAAGATTATTTATCATTTAAGATAAGTTCACAACAGAAAAATTACAAAGATAGGCAAACCTAGAAATTAAATGCAACTATCTGCCATGCCCCCTAGGTACTGAAAAAAAGCTAAACTTTGAATATTTATTGTAGCAAATGATTGTTACACAATGTCGGCATAATCACAGATGGATCACAATAATTTTTGCACAGAAAAGTGGACTTGTCGGCCAAGTTCGGTAGGGGGACACTTCTGCATGGGGGACACTTCTGTATAGTACCCCTATGCAGAAATGTCCACTTCACGAAATATTTTCTATAATCATATATCTTAGGTGACAAATCTTGTTGATATAACGTCGGCATAGTCAACGATAGATCACTATAATATATCTTTTTTATTCATTAAAACATGAAAACATAACAAGGGCAGTGTGGCGCTGCACTCAAGTTTACAACTTATATTAACAGCGCCACACAACAAAAACGCACAATTAACATTTGAATATGCAAAGTTGAACATATCTGTGCGCCGTAGTCCTACCACCCCAAGACATTAAAATGTTAAATTAAATGCTAAAAAAAGCTATTTGAAAGATGTGATTGTGATATGTGATACATGTGATACGTGGTAAACTCCTATATCTCATTGGCGGAAAAACACAATAATATTTGCCCAGAAATGTTGACTTGACGGCCAAGTTCGGTGGGGGACACTTCTACATGGGGGACACTTCTGCATAGTACCCCTATGCAGAAATGTCCCCTTCACGGAATATTTTCTATAATCGTGTATCTTAAGTGATAAACCTTTCGGGAATACAACGTCGGCATAGTCACCGATGGATCACAATAATTTTTGCCCAAAAAAGTGGACTTGTCGGCCAAGTTCGGTGGGGGGACACTTCTGCATGGGGAACACTTCTGTATAGTACCCCTATGCAGAAATGTCCCCTTCACGGAATAACGAAATATTGCATGTATCTAAACTCATGAATCTTTTGGACACAACGTCGGCATAGCCACCAATGGATCACAATAATTTTCTCCCAGAAATGTGGACTTGTGGGATGGAGGGACACTTCTGCATGGGGGACACTTCTGCATAGTACCCCTATGCAGAAATGTCCCCTTCACGGAATATTGTCTATAATCAGATGTCTTAAGTGATAAATCTTTTTGATATAACGTCGACATATAGTCACCGATGGTTCACAATTTTTTTTGCCCAAAATGTGGAGTTATATAAAAAATATCTATAACTTATAACATATGATCATAGACAATATTCCGTGA